TTGTGCCAATCTGTGGTACCGCAAAGACAAAATTTGAAGGTAATTGCTAAAATCTTCTAATATTTGTATAAATTTTCTTCAGATTTGTTTCGCTTGTTTTGGCATGTTAAGAACTCACACATCCAGAAGATGAAAGTAACAAATATGAGGATGTTGAGGTGGATGTGCAGGCACACTAAGATGGATACGATTAGGAATGAAGATATTCGGGAGAAGGTGGATGTGGCCTCCATGGAGGACAAGATGCATGAAGCAAGACTCAGATGGTTCGGGCACATTCAGAGGAGGAGCATTGATGCACCGGTGAGGAGGTGCGAGTGACTGACTGTGGTGGGCACGGTAAGAGGTAGAGGGCGGCCCAAAAAGTATTAGAGAGAGGTGATCAGGCAGGACATGGCACGACTTAGGATTACTGAGGACATGGCCTTTGACAGGGAATTGTGGAGGTCGTCGAACATTAAGGTTATAGGTTAGGAGGAAGTTGTGAATAATTTCACGACGCACAAGAGTGAGACTAGCCAATTAGGATTTAGTTATAGGATGCTTGTGTTTATGTACTGATGCAGGGCTTTATCTACTGGTTATTGTTGTACTTTCCTTCTATTTTGTATTTCTTATAGTGCTGTTATTTTATTATGATTCTATTGATGATACTAATATATCGTCTCTTGTCTCCTTCTTGAGCCGAGGTTCTCTTGGAAATAGCCTTTCTACCCCTCGGGGTAGGGGTAAGGTCTGCGTACACATTATCCTCTCCAGACCCCACTAGTGGGATTACACTAGGCTGTTATTGTTGTTGTTTCGCTTGTTTTGTATGATTTTTCTTCAAAGTTGTTGGGTATTTTTGGTAGTTTTTAAAACTTATGGGTATAGGTCACATTTATGTTTTTTCCAAAAAAAAAAGTGAAATATATTTTGAAAAATTATGTCCAAATAGATTTTCATCTTCAAACCAAACTCCACCCAAATCAGTTTTTTAAAAATAAATTTGGGAATCTATGGACAAATGCTAGTTTAGTTTCCTTTTAAACTTTACGTGGTCTTTTATACCCCATTGAACTTGGCAATTTTATAATCTCAATCCCTTTGGACGCTGATAATCCATGGGAGCGTGGCACACACGCTGCTATGTGAATTCTTTTTGTCCATATGATATTTTTATCTTTCTAAGTCTACGAACTATTTAAATTATTTTTTTCGTGCCAAAATTTGTTAAAAGAAAAAAATTGAAATAACATTATTTTGACTATAATTTTTTATTTGGCTAAAGATAATGATATTTTAATCGTGTTACTTTTACATATTTGGTTAGAAAAATAAGGAATACACATTTAGAATAAATTATCATTGATATTGGCTAAATAAATATTTTAGCTAAAAATAGTAAAATTTCGGCCAAATATTTGCGAATTTACCCGAAAAAGAAAAATGAATAGTTTAATTAAATAGTCATTGCATGAAAATAATAATAAAAATACACACTATTTTTTCTTTTTGTAGAAAATACACCATTTTGAACTTTATTATTTTTGCTAAATTTTCTTTTTACTTGGCTAAAGTGTCACGCCCTAAAACTATGTGACCGACACTCAGTATTCTCGTCGACCCGAGTGAACCATCCTATAGATTGATACACATCTATATGCTTAATAGGAGGATGCGAAAGGCTCTTCAATTTCAATCATTTTAAGATATACGCAAAACATGAATAATGTCTTTAAGCAAATATTTTCCTTTGAAGGCAAAGTTTCATAAAGATAAAAGAAAATTTCGTCCATGCATGCCATGTAAGTAACCATAGGATTACAACCCAAAACGAATACTATTATTTTCTATGGAATCTCTATGACACGAGCTGGAATAGTCAGCCAAGGCATAACCCGGTGGCTCAAAAGGATATTAATATAATAAAGTCCTCCACAAATACAAGCGTGGAGTCTCACCAAATAACATCAACGGAAAATGTAGAACTGCCCTATCCACGCGGTCTAAGTTGCTTAGGTCCAGTCCCAGAAAATAGAAAATGAAAATGTGGCTGAAAGGCCTAAGCTCCACATGCCTAGTACGAATCATGAACCGTTCCCCCCCAAAAAATATGACGATATTTGAGAAGACGTAAGATCTGCAATAATAATTGATATCAAGAAAGAAGTATTCATATCAATTAACAATTTAAAAAGTACAATAAAATAATATGGTAAAACATATTTCAAAGTCTTCCTTTATCATTGATCTTTGCAAAATCATGTTAGATTTTTCATTTACCGGGAGCACTATACCATTACCGACACGAAAGAATGTCAACTAGGTTATGTACCTAGCGGCAAGTATCATATACCCTACTTGCTCATGTCGTCTCATCGTTGTGCCGCACGAATCGACTCAGTCATGCTAATAAAGTAGCACAATAGTACCCCTAATGGGAAGTACTCTGCCGTAGTCCCCAACCGTAAGGTAGGTTCTACGCCTACACCGGCACGTGTAGTTTCATGACCTAATGAGGAAAAATGTCCAAGGTCAATCTCGGTGAATTTAAGTAACTCCCAAAACCTTTACATTTATCAATGATGATATTTATAGCCAAATCAACTATTTGAGAATAGCTATATCCAAGTTATTTTACAACTCATGTATTTTCATTTCAAAATACTACAAGCGCTATTCCTTATTTATTTAGTTTTTTTCTTTAATTAAGATACAACATTTCAACAAAATAATAATCACATCACTTAAATCTTTTATGAGGAAATAATGGTAAAATCCCAACTCACTCGTCCCCACAAGCTAGGACTCACATTTTGAAACTCAGTTTAATCGTGTTTCGATATGAGTTTGGAGAAAAGTTATGAGGGTAATAAGTTTCAACATACCTCAAATTACTTCCAACCTTATCACAAATGATCCAATAACGCCAATGAGTCACGATCTACATATACGAACTCACATAATTCAAGAACGAATCACAACGATACCTACTAAACCAACTAAGTGTCCAACACTTAAAATCTAATCTTGTAAGTTTAACAAAAATCCTCTTTTGATTATTTGAATGGCAATCCTTGAATTTTAACTCCAACTTATTCATTAAACTTGTTATGGAATCTAGTCATGTCACTATAAACTCAAAATAACATCGTTCAAACAACACCCATCACTATTCATCATTCTTACCAACCAACTTTTCAATTTCAAGACTAGCTTCTAGGGTTTTATGAATAAATGTTTAAATACAAATCTAACTTCATAAATATACCCTACTACGCCCGTGGAATATGGTACATAAGATTGGAATGAAGAAATTACCTCTTTGTCAAACCCTAAAAGTTTCAAGATTTGAGCTTCTTGAAATGTCCTTGAGATTTCTTCAAAAATCTACAAATCCCAGGATGTTGGAGGGTTAAAAGATGTAATAAATGAATCAAATTTATCAAATAAAGACATTTAATTCTTACCTTGAAGATGTATTAATGGTAAATAGTTGCTCCCCATCTCTAATCCCCAAGACCAAGTCAAATATAATATAATCTCTCCCTTTACAAAATGCCTACAAAAACTTCAGCTGTGGATTTTTCGGGTGCTGAGTTGCACGCCTTCAGTGGGTTCTAATTTATTTCATCACTGAAGCAACATTTTGGTCTTCAACTGTAATCATTCTATTTCCCACTTGCTTTTGTCTTTCATAATTACTTCCATTATTTCCTTATCCTTTTTATTTAATTAATTCCATTGTCCCCCACTTGTCTTTTTGTTGGCCAACCACTTTTCCTAGTTTTTTAAATCCTTTCTCGTTTCCATCCGAAGACTAGGATTTTAAATCCTTGTTTTCCTTATTAAATTCCAACTCTTCAAGTTGGTTACATACCATTGAATTCTCAAAGTTTCAGCACATATGAATAGAAACTTGAAATGCTGCAAATGCATTTGATGACCTTGTAACATCCACTAATTCAATGAATAATTATCAATATTGTCCTTAAGCATTCCAATAACTTTGTTCCACTCGAATAAACTTAGATTTAATTACATTGCATTCTCAAGCTCAAAATTAGTAGGAGTTAACTAAAAGAATTTACGGGGCTTTACATAAAGTAAATAAAGTTTCAACTAACTTTTATAGATTTGGATCTGTAAAAAGATAAGAAATGCATAGTTAAAAAATATATTCATGTATCTACAAAAATACAACGGGGATAAAATATGCAATATATATTAAGAAGAAACAACAAGAAATATAATTGGAACAAATAAATTATTATATTTATTTATGTGACAATTAATATTTAAAAAATACCCCGCTTGGAAGCTTTTTTGATTTTATTGTATTCACGCTCTTTGCCACATCAGCATCTAGGGTGGTCAAGACTATCAAATTTCCAAGTTCAGGGGTAGTAAAGACCACGTGAGTTTTAAGGGAGAACTAAACAAAAGCTGCTAAATTTAGGGGGTCCGAACTATTCTGCCTTTTATTAAAGTAAATAAAATTATATTTTTAAAGTCTACCTCGTATAATAACTTTTAATATAACATATCAAAGATCCAATAATAAATAAGTTCTATATTACATTACATGTATATTTCGTGATCAATTCGTCCATCCAAAAGATATTCCACTCTTATGGGATGCTAGTGAACTTGCAAGGTGTGTGCACCTTTGCAATATTAATTGCCATGGAGTTCTTTAATAATAATAGTGATAATATTTTTATCTCAATTTATTTGCAACGATCTTTTTATCTCATTTTTTTCACTTTGTATTATTTAGAGAGTTGAAATTGAAATATTAGTAACTTTGTAAGGTTTAATATTTTTGTTGAGAAATATGAGAAGCCAAATTTTTAGTGAAGAACGTATAACAACTTGGAAATAAAGTATTTATGGCATTTAAATAGGAGTAACTAAACTTTCTATTTAAGCGGGATTTACATTGTGGACCGAATTGGGAAAAATAAAAAGTTGAGGGACTAGATTTATTGTGTTAAATTTTACTTCCTTTTCCTGGCACCGTCCCATACCTTCTAAGTTCTAACCTTATTCCCACTGTATATATGAAAAAAGAAAAATCCAAATCCAAATCCAAATCCAGAAGTTAAGTCCAAAAGCTGTCTGAGACGAAAAATCAAACACTTGCCCTTCATTCCCCGTCTCTCACTGTTCATAGATTGGTTAATTTTAGACATTTTTCTTTATAGACGCCTGTAGTTTTCAGACTTGTCATAATCGACAGTGTTGTCGAATCTTGATTCTAATTATGAAACGAGGTTACTCGGAATCTCCATCTTCAAGTTCTCATGGACCTCCTCAATCCAAATTTAAGCACAACCCTGAAGGTAATTTTTCTTCTTTTTCTTTTAGGAAATATCCCACTTGATTTTTATTTACCCAGAATTCTTGGTATAATATGGATACAAAGTTTTTGTTCATTGTTGCATTAATATCCAATGAAGTTAGAGACTTTATTGTTATTTTAGCTCAATCCCAGAAGGTAATTTTCCCCTATTTTGTTTATGTGTTGCATTAATACCCGTAAAGTTGGAAACTTTACTTTTGTGTAAGCACAACCTAGAAGGTACTTTTTGTCTCACTTGATTATTGGCATTTTATTTGTATTGAATGGATACAAAATATTTGTTTTCGTTGTTGTATTAGTACCCTGAAAGTTAGAGAATTTTACTGTTATTTTAGCTGCTAAAGTGTTTTGCTACAATTGGTATAATATCAGAATCTTATTTACTATGCAGGGTAGTTGTTTAACTGCTAGGGGCGAATGTATTATGCCGTAAAAAAATGAACTTGTGATGCTAAACTTTAGGAAGTTGTAACCCTTATGGATAAAGAAGTCAGAAGTTGGTTTTCTATTGCGGTTTGATTTAAAGTTTGAACTGGTGTCAGGCGACACTCATTTTCTTGAAGATGAGAGTACAAAAATCTTTGCCAGGAAGGTGGCTGATCATTACAGCGCGAGGACCAACCAAACTCTTGAAGAGCGCGAAGCAAGTCCTATCATTCATTTAAAGAAACTTAACAATTGGGTATGTCTTGTTTATTCGTGGGCAAGGTTATTCTGCATGGTTCATTGCTAATAAGGTTTTCTGGCGTGTTAGATCAAGAGTGTCTTGATTCAACTCTATGCCAAAAGAGGGGATGCAGTTCTTGATCTTGCTTGCGGGAAGGTACTTCTTGCCTACTGTACTGTATCTCAATTATCTGGCAGTCCGACCTGTTAATTTTTCTAGGTGGTAATAAACAAGTCATGCATCTTATTTTCAATGTCTTTCTGTTTGAACCAGGGTGGTGATCTTATTAAATGGGATAAAGCAAAGATTGGATATTATGTTGGCATTGATATTGCGGATGGTTCGGTAAGTTCACGCTGGATGAATATATTTTTGTTGCCTTTTCTGCTCTTGCTGCTGCAGGTCAGAGCTTCCTTTCAGCAAGCTAATTTATTTTGTTGAACTATTTATGTGACTTTCTAGAAGACATGCCATCTGTTACTTGATGACTTATAATGTGGAAAGGTGTTTTTAACCATTATTAGATGTTCTGCTGTTCAGCACTAAATTGCATGTATCCAGTCAGATTAGGTTCATGTTTCTGTTTATCGTCAGTAGTACTCTGCTAGTATTCTTTTTAAGATTCAAAATTTACTAAACTTGCTGAGCGCGCATCCTATTTGCATAAGTACCGAGTGCACCTGTCTTGTTTTCTTAGTAGTCTTCATTATTAGAATAACTCTTTGATTTGGTTAGGCTTTTGATATATTCTTTCCATGAACAATGTTGGAACAACTCAAGTTTGTTGATAAGAAGTGGAGTAACACATTGGGGATCTCTATTTTGTGTGTTAGGTTTAGAGGAGGAGCTAAGATTTGAACTTTATGGGTTCCAAATTGTAGGATAGCGATATAAGGTGTTAGTAACTGGGTTCTGCATTTAATTTTGATACATATTTAGTGAATATTTAATACAAATAAAAAGTTTGGACTAAAGCTACCGGGTTCAGCCGAACCCGCAGGTCGGCTTCGAGCTCCACCACTGGTTAGGTCATCGTAGAACTTTACCTTATCCCAAGAAAAAAGTGGGTTATCATAGACAACTTTTGCTTATGGTGAGGGTGCCATGTACCTGATCTGCATGTTATGCTATCATTTTTGCTCGCGTAATTTACCAATACTAGCTGGTCAAATTTGAATAATTCGTAGCTGACTAGTAGCATTGACGAGCAAGATAGAAATAGAAAATCAATTTTTACTTGAGGGAAATGTTGATCAAGTTGTTGGTTTAGCCTTTTAATTGGAGGTTAATCTGGATGATTCACATCAAGCGAAGGTCATAGAACCTTAAATTGTACCCAGTTGACATCACAGGCCTAAATGCGTCAGATGTATGAAATGCTTTCATTTCTTAAATGTCCTCCATTTAGTTGATTCACATGCTAGGTTTATCCTTTATTTTCGGAACAAAAATTCATCTTTTAGAAGGTTATATTTCTCTATATATTTATGACGGATTCTAGTTTTTGAGGTCCATGTTTTACTTTCTATGGTAGTTGAATGCTGGCCTGACTTTGATATTACCGTTGTATTATATAAAGATAGAAGACTGCCGAACCCGTTACAATGGTGAGGCAGATCACCATCAACGCCGCAAAAAGTTCTCATTTCCTGCCAGACTTATGTGTGGAGATTGTTTTGAGGTAAATCAGCTAACCACATGATCAAGTTCTGTCATTCTTGCAGATGGAACTGAAAATTCATTTCTTTTATACTTTTATTGCTTTCTTTCTTGTCGTAAACATCAGGAATGTTTAATGAGTCATTTCCTAGACATACAAGGACCTTAGATGGCATATCATTAGCTTGATGTGCTGTGATGATCAATATTTGCTTTAAACTACTGATATCCCAAACTGCTTTGTGCTTTAACTGAAAAATCGTGGGGAGTGACTCCACTGATATCTTTTGTGTGGTGAACTTCAGGTTCGTCTGGATAGGGTGTTAGCAGATGATGCACCTTTTGATGTTTGTAGCTGTCAGGTATGCATGTCTCCTGCATTTCATATTATATAGTAGCAAGCTTTGTTCTTCATAGGTTTAGGTCAAAAACTTAGTTTGAGATTTCACTCTCAGTGACCATTAGTATTATTTTTCCATAGAAATCTTTCGTACCAATTAGCTGTCTTCTGGCTTAGCCGATAGAGATACATGCTTCTATGAGTTGAATTGCTTTATAAGACAACTTCTCTTACTATAAAAAAAGAAGGTAATACTACCAGAAAAATTGAGGTGTTTTTGGATATGTTGATGCCCTCGTAAATATCTCTTCTCAAGCTTTCATGCTCTGCTTCCTGGCTATATTAGATGTTTCCTTTCTGCTATCGGTGTTGTCCATCTTTACCTGTTATTTTTCCATTGAAAACTAAAATTACTTAGTGCGCTCAGAAGCTTTTCCAGACTAGCTCACTGAAAAAGGAGTATAATCCACATCTTTCTTAATTTTGAAAAGGAAAAACTTTGGGGAAGTAAAGGTTGAGGAAATATTGGATGTATGGTATTCTCCTAATTGGATGCCTCTGCATAGTAGCTGTAGAGGCGACAACCCTTTATCCAGTAAATTATGCTTGTCTTGGGTGGACTTTCATGGTTGATTGTAAACTTGAACTTTGCAGTTTGCTATGCATTATTCGTGGTCTACTGAGGCACGTGCACGGCGTGCGCTGGCCAATGTCTCGGCTTTACTTCGACCTGGAGGAATATTTGTTGGAACAATGCCAGATGCCAATGTCATCATCAAGAAGCTAAGAGAAGGTTTATTTTCTGCTCTACACTGCTCTGCTTGTTCCTCTTGAAGCTATAGATGTCATGACTGTGATATCTTTATGATGTGTGTTCGCTCTCATCTCTAGATTTTCAATAAAAAGGATCTAGGAGTTGAAGTTCAACAAGAACATCGTTCTACATTTATTTATTCCTTTTTGGTTCTTTTTTTTGTGTGTGTCGGGGGTGGTGGTGGTGTAAATGAGTTGTTGCCTGATTCTATCAATCATTCAACTATGTCTCAACTTTAAACTAGATGGGTTGGCTATGTAAATCCTTTATATCCTCTATTTGGGCCTATTTCCTTCTGGTGTTGACAAATAATTTCCTGTGAGGCACATTAAGGATTCCTTCAAAATAGAAGTTATCTAAGGGTGTGTTTGGTACAAGGGAAAAATGAATAGGAGTTATCTAAGGGTGTGTTTGGTACGAAGGGAAAATATTTTCTAGAAAAAATCTTTTTCAATTTTCCCATGTTTAGTTGGCTTAAATGTTATGCAAAATATTTTTCTAATGAGCTCATTTTCCTCCAATGGGAGAAAAATGACTTCCCTGCCAAGAGAGAAAATATCTTCCAAAACTCACTTTCAC